TATGATCTTGTAAATTGAAAACCTCAACAAACAGTAATTCAAAACTATCATTGGATTTGTTATTTCTAAGTAAGGCTCGCTTTTACTCACAAACATTTACTGTCAGATGGTGAACATTGCTGGTAACGTCATTCTCGGCGTCATTCCAGAACCGTTGTGTTGCGATGCAGATATAACTACCCGCGTCTTCATCAGTGGAATCCGATATCGTATATTCCAAGTGAGTTATTCCTTGGTCGTCTTTGAAATGTTCAATAACTTGGCCATCTAGTAGTAGTTCTAGTTTAAAAGGATCAGGGTTGCTATCACTAACTGTACATGTGAAATTGACACTCTCTGATTCGTCAATCTCTTTTTCTGATCCCACGAGAGTTACTATACCTTCATCTGTGAATAAATTAAAAACATAAGAGCACACTAAGGAGTTATCCATCTTGTATTCAGCTTAATGAAATACATGTTTATTTGTCGCAATATATCCTTACACTCAACATTCAAATCCATAGTCCCACTGTCTGTTGCAGATGATCCATCCCAGAATGTTGTAACAGCTGTACATGTGTATGTACCAGCATCGTTTCTGTTTGTATTTGTTATTTCTAATTGATGTCCATTTGTTTCTGTTCCATCTGGATACAACCAGGTAATGACAGAATCTGGATTGGAATCTACCTCGCACACGGCGAAATAAGAGTTTCCTTCGACAACATTAAATCCTGTCTCGTCTGTCACTGTGACTGAAGGTGAATCTGCGAAATAATGTTAAAAAATATATAAATCACAATGATTGTATGAATAAAAAGCCCATTGCTTTGTATGTATTGCAAATGTTTATGAATACGATTCTAAGAGATAAATCTGTCAAACTCGTATTTCATTCATGCCTAATTTATATGTATACATAACACATTCATATTTACGAGTACCCAAATCACGTTCGCATGTACATACATCCTCACAGTATTTTTTTATCGCGGACGAGTAACCTCTACTATAGCTACTGTATTCCTAAAACATGTTGGCTATACGGCTATACACGACTTACATACGATTTTACATGGGTGTTCAGTAGCGCTGGGAGATATATTTATTTTAATTTTGAAAATGTTGTGATGTCAAAAGGAGACTGAAGAAAGAACTTTTTTAAATATGTGTAACTATGGTTCTATTTTACTGCGTAGGATGAGCCGTATGTTGCCATGTCTCCTACAATTTGGTCACACTTAAACAACAAACAAACCGAATTGTTTACTGTAGCGAAAGTACTCCTGTACACATTGCGCACGTCAAACATGGGTGATAATGAGTGTATGTATTTAATAAATCGTAAAAATATGCGTATCAGTGTTTGAAAATTGCATATAATAAAACAATATATCAGAGATAGACATGGCATATCGCGGGATTTGGGGCACGACACATACCAAACACGGTTTCGCGAGCTCGTACATGGAGTGAGCAAAGTGAGTGAAATTGATTGTTTATTGTTACTATATTATACGTATTAATTTTGGACAATAATATACGAACAAAATCTAAGAAGCAAACTCAAACTACATCAAAGCAGATTTTTGCGTCCATTATGAAATAAATCGACTTATTTTCTAGAAAGTACGCTGAAACGCGACATTTCATTTTCATTTATATAAATTAAAAACCAGTGACGCGTAATCAAAACAGGTGTAATATACTTCAAAAAAATTCTGCATTCTGTTCATTTGGGTAATAATTGGACGTTCCGTAATCAATACAATAAGCTATTGAAGGAATTTATCTTCTATCCCACAATAATCTCGTTGGCTTATTCGTTGAAAGACATTTACTGATTTTGGAAAATCCTATGCAGTAGATATAATAATGATACGAACGCAAGTCCATTTAATTTGTTAATTTGCTGGAACTTGCTGTTTCAATATTTAGCCATGGTATTTAGGGAGTATGATCATAACTATAATTGATTAAAGATGTTTTTTGCTAAATGTATTCAACAAGTTCATATACTGATATAATATAATGACTGGATAGTCTGTATCTTCATCAACTAATTTTTGTCTTGATTATTTTATGGCCCAATGCAGTTGAAACTATTTGATCGCATTATTTTTATAGCGATGAATAAGTAATGTATAAAATGACTCACATTGAACATCAATGAACACATCTATTTTGGTGATTCCCTGTGTTGCGTCCCAAAATGTATTACGTGCTTCACATGTGTAAGTACCATGTTGTTCTTTTCCGACGTCACTAATAATTACCAGAGGTTCAGTGGATACAACATTGTCTGCTGAATCGCTCCAGGAAATACTTTCTACCTCTGGATTAGCATTCATTATCACACATTCTACAGTAAAATTACTCCCCTCAATTACATATCCATTTACCTCATCGATGTCTCCAGTTAAATCAGTTGCGATATCTGGCGAAACTGATAGAATACATGGTATTACATTAAAACGTCACATTGTATTGCATATAATATATAACAGTAATGAATTTAAACACAAATATTGTTCACACTTACACTGAACATCCAGGATCAAATAATCCTGTGCATTACCCGTTTCGTCATCATAGAACACGTTTTCGGCATAACATGTATACAATCCATTCTGTTCAACTTGAACGTCATCTAGTTTCAGATATCCTCCTTCAGCTACGGTTACGTTGTCGAATTAAACCACAAAATTGTGGCTTCTGGATTAGAATCCACATTACACTGTGCTTCATAGGTATTATTTTCGATTACTGTCCATCCGCTAAGATCTGTGATGTTTATACTTGGTTCATCTGTGGTAAGTATAGTAGAAATTAACATAACATGACATAATTCCAAATTAAATAATTATCAATATTTCCCTTATAACTAAATCATTTTCAACTCATAA